AAAACAATCAAAAGAAAACGCCATTTTGAAAACTAGGACGCTTTGCTCGTTTAAACTCCAATGGGAGTGTACGTTAGAATGAGCTTGGCTAACAGCCAATCAGAATCTATTATATATAATCGCGCAATTTGCGAGGGGTCCAGAACAAGCTTTCTGGCGATGTTTCGCAGACGGTTTTTTACGAAGAAAAATCCGGATGTGACACAGGCTACAGAAAGAAAATCAAACAAACACTCTCATGGCTACGGTATTCGCCAACGCCCAGTCCGGAAATCGAACTCGGATTTCATTGGTGAGAGATAAGCGCTTTCACCGCTACGCCATCCGTGCTTCCCCACATATGCCGACTCTGTTGCTGACTTTAAATATTCACTCAGAACTTTCATGTTTCCTAGGAATAAATAACTATTTTCCAATTATATATTATGTGTTCTAAAGAACACTTTATTATCATATTCGGATGCTCTTACTTACTTCTCCGAGAAAGGAGTTAAGTAAAAAACATCTGACATTTCAAAGACAATGTTCAATAGGGTATTCGGGTTTCAATTAACCCAACCCCCCTCCCGACCCCCTATCCTAATTGCCTGTCTGTCCACAACACCTCAAGGGGAGATTTGCTTGCTCCTAACTGACGTCCCCTTTTAGTAGACCCCTTGCATGTGATGTCAATGCAGCTCAATTGGGAGGACAAAACAAAAGAATTTTAATCTCCTGAGAATTGAAAAACTATTGTTATGTCCTCCAAATTGAACTGCATTCCGACGTACTGCAAGGGGTCTATAGCTACCAAAGAGTTTGGGGGCAATCATAAAAACAATCACAAGGATTCCAGTAGTTAAACAGTTTTATTTCTATAGTTTATCCCATGAATCCATCATACATTTTTAACTAATTTCTCTGTGAAATTAGAAAAGACAATTTCATTATTCTATATTTCCCCTTTCTCCCTAATTTTGAATATTAGTTTAGGCCACGACCGTAAAGTGCTAACGTCTACGACGTCGTTGTTCTACGGCTGATCCGGTCTCATCCTTAATTTTGACGTTATTCACGTTTTGATTCCCTGAACAAGACATTACTGTGCAGTCGCATGATTCGATGATTGAGAACACGGCGGTAAAATCTTCCTCCGTGCCTCCACATTTCATGAAGGCCTTAACTTGAATGACACTAGATGGACTACAGCATGTGCACTCAGACGTGTAGATAGTGTTGCCGTGGGTTGCTACTGCTGATGAGTCACAGTATCCTCCACATCTTGTTTGTAGGAAGGTTGTGTTTGAGGTACAATTGCGGATGGTAAGCGGAGCGTTACCCAACTCTTTTCGTACACACTTGGGTGGAATAGTCGTTGGCCCAGCAGCAGGTACTATTGTGAAAACAAAAAAAAATTACATTTGCGAAACACGAGTTTTGTCGCTCATTCGACTTTACCACAAGATTACAATAAATTTAAAACGTGTGGAATACCGTTACAATTTGCCTAAAATGGAGTTAATATTGATAGGTTGCAAGAATTCCCAAGGGAGTTAAAAGAAAAAAGCATGCCGCTCATTTTGGTGCCGTTAACAATGGATGCTAATAAAACATTTTTTGTTAAATGGCACCGACGCGCCTCCGAGAGGCTTCAATGACGTAACATGCAATCGAAGAATAAACAAAAATCGGATCACATTCATAGCTTTTCTCTGGATTAAATTGTAGCAGTCACAGAGAATCTACTTGGTACAAAATACTTAAAAAATAAATTCCTTACAGGATAACATTTAAGGAAGGTGGTTTTAATTGCCAGCATGAATAGACACAAAAGTAGCGAAAAAGTTTCTTACTTATGTTCTCGGAAAAAAAGAAAGTAAGTCAACTGAATAAACTCCCATAAATCCCCTAATGCCCAATAAACTGTTCCCCTTGCAATATGATAACCAAACTTACAGCAGTCCGGACAGCAGACATCAGGATTTGAAGGTCGGTAGTAACCCTGTTTAATAACGAGAGAAAACGCTTAATCTCTAAAACAAGTAAATAAAAGAACGTTTTCAATAGTCCTAACCATTAAAGCTAAACAACTTACGTTTGGACAAGCGCTGCATTTGTATTCATAGGTGCTGATTTGAGCTGTCTTATTTCCATAACATGGGTTGTCAACCGCTTCGCAAGTCATGTTTTTACATGGTCCATCGATCCACTTGTCTCCGATCTACCGAAAAAAAGAGCGTTAACAAGGATAATAGAGTTCGAATTTAATCGTCTTAGAATATAAAAAACAATTTTTAATTTCTGATTATTTTTTAAATTGATTTGTTTTTCTTATTCAACTTTTTTATTCAAAATGACTTTCTTTTAAAAAAAACAGCCCTAGTTGCTGTTCACAAAGATTAGAATTGTGATGTTAATTTGCCAATAATTCCTACAATAATTATTTCTTTATTTCCTCGGCGAATCGACCTCTTGTTGGCAAAGAAAAAACAATACCTTACATCACAACATTATCGCCTACTAATAAACCTTACCTTATAGTATTCCACTTGACCCTGACTGTTATTGTAAACGCACAATGGACACATCGCTGGAATAAAAATAAGAGAAATTCAAAATTTCTTCAGAAAAGTCATTAAGGAAAATTATTTTAAAGTATTTCCAACTGATCTAAGAGAACATATTAGCCAATCAGAATAGAGAAAATTAGCAAAATTGAGATGTCCCTTTAGCTTTTTAAATTTCAAGGCCACCGAACAAAAAAAAACTTGTTGGATAAGATTAACATTATTGAGTTTTATTTTTTATTGCGATGGAGGATACCTTTTTATTATTTTCACAGGCTACATGAAACAGTAATGATGAAAAAGTAAATTATACACCGTGAAAAGATGAAAAAAGTAAGTTTTTACCTTTTCATCATTACTGTTTCATTATAGAAACACCGACGCAGCTCACACTAGTTTTTAGCTAGTTATATCTTTTTAGGCTACATGAAACTTCAGTTTTGCAGTGACGTCACTTCTAATATTATATAATTAAAGCAATCATAAAAAAGAAACAAATATAAAAAGACTTACAAACAGACGGGATTACGGTAGTGTACAACGATGAAGTAGGCGTGATCGTTGGAAGTGATGTTACATACGACGTCAACGGAATAGAAGAGGAGATAGACATTGTCGTAGAAGACAATGATGGTGTGCTACTCAATGTTGTGGTTGGTCTAGACGTCGATGACAACACAGAGCTCGATGGGCTGGTTGTTGGAACGCTTGTAGTCGTTGGAACAGTGCTAGTCGATGGAATTGTTGTGGTTGGAGACGATGTGCTAGACGATGGAACTGTTGTGGT